ATCCTCTGAAACTACTGGAACTGGAAGTTATCCATCGTTTGTTTTCTGCTTTTAAATACACCGAAACAAATATAACTGCATTATGGAAACCTGGATCAAAAATAGCAAGTAGATAATTAACTGTAAAGAACTGGAAACAGCAAATCAAAGCAGTGAATTCGATAATGTCAGCTCAATGTTAACATCTTCTTTTGATGGTTAATATATGTAAAAAAAATTTTAATTTACTGCCACTTATGTAAATGAAAGATTTTTATCGTTAAGTGTGTGCGCTGCAGTATTCTTAACAAACGATAATAAAAGTACATTAGGACAGCTGAAGCGACAGTTTCCACTTAATAACTTTCAAATGATTCCGATATGAAAACACGGACGGACAAAAAAACTGTTTTGAAATAAATGGATCTTCTTGCAGAAAACTGAAAAAAAAAAGCACTTCAGTAGCTTTTGGAGAAGCTTTGTTCATTTTCCTGAAAAGCCACAGCAAGCTTGTATCTACTCCAACTCAACTTAAAAGATCCTTCCATATATATATAAGGCACACACCGAATCAAAGGAAGACAAGCACTTATTTAGAAAGCTGTAATGAAATAAAGACGGCATTATCTAACTTAAATCTACATCTTTAACACTCATCGTACTAAAACTATCACCACAGTCACTATCATCAAGTATAAGTACTATATAATAAAGATTCTTTTATCTTATAGTTGAAAGTTCAGGGGACAAAACTTAAATCAATAAGAAAAATGCGAACAGTTTGAAAGCTACTCAAAAACTGAACCAGTAAAATTCAATGGAACCAATTTCACAACTTTCAAAACTGTGATCAGTCCTCGTCTACGATCATGGTAGACCATAGTCATGCAAAATTTTTTCATTCGAACTAAAGATACCATATTTGACATTAATTTGTCAGCCTCTTAGACTACTTAATTTTTCGACTCTAAACTTAAATGCAAATAATTTAATGTTGAATCATTAATGAATTAAGCTTATTTCGACTTCTGTAAGCGTGGGGGAGCCGACCATGTTTGGCCAAAGCATCCTGACTTACAAATAAAAAGTCGGTAATGCCTTATAATGATAATATCAGTAAGACACTTCTGCGAAATGTATTTGCTTAATACATTGAAATGACTTAAGATACAGAATGAAAAAAAACATGGCGCAGAAGAGAGTAAGCAGTAGCAGCAGCATAATCAGCAGATCTTAGTAGGGGAACCAGGAAATCACATGTTGAATTCGATAAGGGATAGTCTGAAATGTCGAAAAAGCGTAAATCTCATTCAGCTAACGATTGGTGATTTTTGGGTGCGACGCAAAGGAAGACTGACTTGTTCCCACTAGTTCCTTATAAGTAACAAATACATGAAGTTACACTTTACATTTTCATTTAAACTAATTAGCTACTCAGTTTTGTGGCTTTAAAGACTTTTCATATAAACAAATCACACTGAGCAAGAATGACGAGATTTCACGAAAAGCAAGTTATGCATGCAAGCAAATAAAACATGCAAAATTGTGAGCATGAACATGCACTTCTGCATGCTCTCCGTTCATCTGTATGAGTGGCATGCATACAGGAAGCAATACAACGGGTGCATCCTGACCTGTGAAACAACGGTATCCTCGGTTCGTCCAATTGCAAGTAACCAACGTTGCCGCAACACCTGCGGTCGTTTGGGTATTCGATAGAAATGTCGATTATCTTCTTGACCGCGATAGCGGGACCGAAATTTACAGTTCGGGAAGCCACAGGTGGTAGGCATCAGACATGCGCTGAACGAAGCAGCGCGCTGCAACCATTTAACACATCCACAACTGTTAATTTCATTAAGCTTACACAATATCTACAGTAGCGAGAAGATAACAGCCCATTATGGAGTAACTACGTATACAGTATATAGCGTACGTATACAAGGAGGAAGCATGAAAAGTATTAGCATCTATAGATAACTGGTACTTCATACTTCAGCTCCTCAAGTAGTATAGCAGTACCTGCTCCCCCTAACACTGCTAAATTTGATAATCACGTACTACTTAGCAGCCTACTTCTATTTCACAACATTCACCTTTAGTGCCAATTTTAATCTCATACCTTCTATAGCAACAAAGCTCCAACAACCTGCTCAAAACATTCTAGTACTTTCGCTTCTTTCACCATTAGTCTAATCTAATTCATTTAAGTGATTTTTATCAAGTTGTTACGTACCTTTTTGGAATTTCTAGGTTTTAAATAGTTTTCGCTTATTCTGGAAACATTTCAGCGCTAAAAAAAATGTTACTAAATCTTTTTTCTGATTTAGTGCGCATCATTACTAATCAAGAAATAAATCAATAACTTATTATTAGCAAGAATAAACATAGCAGCCAGCCAGTGAAATACCGATAACAAGGATGCAGCAGCATACGTGTACACCCTTTTAATTGGCTATAACTTAAATATATAAGCACAAAAGCTAATAACAGATTCCAAAGCGATCACAGAAGCATTTAAAATCTGTGCGTGGAACAACCACAATATTTAGCAGCTAACAATTTCACTTTAGCGTATGTCCCTGCAAACCGTTCCATTCAATTTTTTTTTTTTTTTTTTTTTTCTTTATTAAACGAAATTTTTACATTAAGCAATTTGTTGAAGAATGAGATGAAGAAATACTAGCAGAAAAGCAACGGGGACAATGTTACAATTTCAGAGAATTTTACGGTAGGAAATGAACCTAAATGAATAACCAATCTATGTAATTTTCTCTACACAACACAGAATATGCAAACTATTTGAAAATTAAATTTGTTAATATTTAACAGGTGTGGGAATGGACTTATACGGTAACAAGCATGAAACGGGAGATGAAGGAAACAATGAAATGAACAAGATAATGTGAGATATCATGTAAATGTCATCAGTTGTAACGTGCTGTGAATTTGTGCATCATTTTTCGCTATCACTAGTATGCTTTTTTACTAATGAATAGTACAGCATGTAGCCCATGAACACTTAGGGCCAAATTTCGGGTTTTCAATTTTAAAAATATATAAAAGATATTCTGCTTCCAGTAATTTAATATTTCCAGTAAAAAGTGCGGCGACATATTACTGCTCCGTTAAATAGCGAGAAGATATTTAGTGTGGAAGCATAGCCAAGCCTGAAAACAACAGGCACTAAAATACGCAGATAGTAGCAGTTATGATAAGTGGGTGGCTATAGGTGATGGCAAGAATATCATTTGAAAGAGCACTGCTGAAAATGTTATAGGAGATATTATAAGCGAATATATTAATGTGCACCCGGAACAGGAAAATATTGTGACTGGAACCAACTAGTAATATAAGACTCGGCAACTACTACCAGCAGCAGGTGAAGATAGTGGATCGTAGTGTTAGGCAACGGAGCTTAATGACCACAAAATGAAAAGAAGTGCACTGAGGAGAGCCTCATCATCAAGGAGCACCACACGAAGTGCTGCCGTCCGGATTGAATTACGGGCATCGCCGATTACACGGTCTCTCCTCTTCTCAGCGGCCACAAACAAAAATCGAATGGAAGGAGCAGCCGGCGGCAGCGAAATTTAATCCATGTGCCTCTTCGGGGCAAGTCGTCCACTCCAGCTATACTCATCAATCAAAGTTAAATCTTCTACTCGACAGGTATCAATATACCACTAATGAGTTGAGCTAGAGGATAAGAAGACCCAACTAACTCTCACTTTCGATCATGAGAAGGCATCTTTACACTCACTAGGCTCCCAATGCAGACAACCATAATCCATCCATTCCTGTCCTCATCAGTAGCAAATGCCGCCACTCTTCCCGGATTCCATTATTTGTACCCTTCGTTCATCCAAACCACTCACATCCATCTATGGGCCATCTCTAAAGTGTCCTCATCCTGCTACGTCACTTGTTTGTACCACCGCTATTGCCACTACCACCTACTGCTTACCGTTATCATTGTGGAAACCACGACTGGACTCTTCCCTTCCTATTAATTAATCAATGCAGTGCAACGCCCAAGGCTAAAACTTTCATTAAGCAGTGCTTCTGAGTCAGCACAACACATTCGCTGTCGCCACCGCCATCAGGATAACGTCCCTAGGCAAGATGGATCTAACCACGTACACCACCATACATCACACCACCAGCTCCAACGGCCCTCCAGGAGTTAAGAAACAGCAACACAAGACTCTCCATTTCTTCCTCCCTTTCCTCATAATATCTTGCCGCATCTCACATACACACCACACTGCACTACACTACGCTACATCACAGCACATCACCACAATCACTCCACTCGCACCTCACTGTAATGAAGACGAGTGCTTTCCTTAACCGAGCAAGCTAGCACTCACTAAACAACTTTTCATCATGAAAAGCTGCGGCTATTGCTACTGCTGCCTTTTCCAGATGCATCGTCAAATTCAATAGAAATATGTCCCACTCCTGAAACCAAATGCCCAATTCAGCTATTTCACACAGATTCTTCATTTATTCGGAAGTCATCAGAACAACCAGTGTCTCTCATCTAATGCTATTCACTCACAAACAAATTCAATCAATTTAAAAATTTATTCTCATCCAAAGTCCCTCCTCTAAAACCCCGCATTAGCTTTCTAATTTTTCATCCACGGCCAACTTACATAAATAAATGTATACATTCAAATAGCAGCATCCTGGAAAACAAGACGTAGTTCTCCTCAAGGTGGGGTCAAACTGCGAGGAAATGCAGCTTATGACAGCTGACACAGAGAATAGAAGCTACCCGTACCACATCTGTATCAAGTCTGACTATGAGAAATTTAATAATGAGCGAATACAAGAAAGCTTTATATCTCAGCATTTTCTCACTAGAATACAGGATGATCATCAGTATATGGACATACCCTTCTCCTTCGAACTGGAAGATTGTTCTTCACGAAGGCCACAGTAACAAGAAGCATTAAGCGAAAACAGACATTACATTTTCCGGATGAACGAGGAGCTGGGATGTTTATGTAGCGATTTCATTTGCACCAAAATATAACTGCATATTAGCAGAATCAATTTGAATCAAATTACAAAAATAATTCCACAAATATACAATGCTAAATCGGTACTGGTTTTTTAATTTTACTCGGATTTTTTCAATACTTGCAGCTTCAAAACATATGTCATTGCGTTCTCAACACTGTTTTTCCTACCTAACCATGATATCTTTTAACCAAGTAGCAGCAACAGACTACAGAAGATAACAAAGTAAATGGTCACTGTAGCACAACACCAAGTATACCTCCAATAGCATAACTACATACTATTAACTGCCTGTTTTGCATATTCAAGCTCGCTATCAATACAAGTAGTTGAAATGCAACAAGGAAAACTTATTTGTTTCGCTATGATTTAAATTGTGAACTAAATTAAATTCACAATTGGTATATTTGCTATAAGTTAGTACATAGCTGATATATTTGCTGATCCGCGCACTGGTGCATATACTGGTAAAATGAGATTTACTATCAGTTAAAACAATACCAGCATCTATATATAGTTTTTATATTCCGCTAATTAAAAGGATTTCTGAAATATATCCCAGTACACAAGATTAAACTAAATTCAAAGAGAAAAAGAAACCAAAGAAACAGCAAAATGAATTATATAAGCTCATGTGAAATATCAATTAATTCGTTAGGGCATGAGACGTCCATAAAAAAACGTATAACAAAATTTAAAGAAAAACGAAATGAAACCATTATAATCAAATGACCTTCTCTATATACAAAACAAAAATAAAATACTAAAACTAAATAAAGAGGATTCGATATTACACAAAGAATCTTTTAAATGCTTTAATATCAACACTATAAGTTGTGAGTCTGGATCATTTCAGAATTAAAAAGGCGGCTACTTTATAAATCCTTGCTCTAATCTTAAGAAAATGACCCCAAAATAGATAGAGGAAGGAAGATCAAAATTCTACTTACCTGTAATGTGACAAAATGCATCTAATAAGGTGCACATTTTTTTATAATTTATAACTGAAATTTTTCAAGAAAGAGAGAAAACCGGGAGTGAAGGAAGTCATGTTACATCCAAGCAATAACAGTTTCCAAACTTACCGACTATTAACTTATCGCCCAAATTGATGTTTCATAAACTGGAAAATGTTGAAGACTGAAGAATTTCGATAAACACAACGTTATATTTCACTCCTTTCAGAAATCTCTGTAATGGAATTGTTGAAATTAGAACAGAAATATTTGCTATATATGTAAAAATACAATAATATTTGATAAATTACTGTAACATGCGAAATACAATAAATAAATACTATTCAGGCATTAATGATTTCTTAAAAAAGTGAGTAGTTATGTGAGTAGTAACCCGACAAGTCTTAAAAGTACAATTTTGTCACAAAGTGGGCATAATATACCTAACCATGCTAAAACCTTTGTAAGACGCCTAAACGTCAAGTCACCATAACATCCCTCACATCTTCGAAACTACAACTAATGAGAACGGAGAAAACCTGAATCTTGGAGAACCCTCGACTTTTGCAGCATTTGGCCCAGATCCAGAAGAGTTTCCACTCAATTGCAGCGCTATATCAAATGCTTTTCCCTTTGCCGCCTGCATGAAAGAGGCGAGCAAATTCTCGAATTCGGACAAAGTCTGGGGTTATGATATAATTGAGGAGGAGTATAAAATTAAACTATAATCGATGCAGTCATAATGTTTCTTCATGGTTTCACCGTGAAATTTGATCTCAAAGCTTGTAGGAATCTGACTCCGTAAAGCACAGCTGTTGTTTTTTAATTCAAAAGTTTGAAAAATCACTGAAACATACAAAAGAAATTTTTACTCATTTATTTTAGTATAGACTGTAGAATTTGAAAATTTTGATAGATTAGAACAACAGCGTTGTGTATTTAGCGAACGCTGTTGATTGTTGCCATGGTATCAGAAGAAGCACACTTTATTTTTCAGTTCCATAATTTTTCTGCTTGTTTGAAAAATCCTCATCCTTATCAAAATGATTCCAAAATTTTTTCGAATTTCTTGTTAATAATCAATCACCGACTGGGTAATCGATGGCCTGTATTACGTGATGGTGGACTAGCCAACAGCTGTCAGGTTTAGAGCATTTTATTCCTGAAATATACTTACTAGTCTTTAAAATTATTCTGAAATAGATTGATAGATTAGATTTGGAAACGTTTGTAGATTCGTTGCTGAAGGATATCATTGTTTTTAAGCAAGTTTGATATTTTGAAACAACATGGAGCAGCGCAATATCACCACTCAAAAAATAATATTTTTGGGTAAGACATGCTTTTTTTTAAGCTTATAAATCACAAATTGTTGTTACGAGACTTGTATCAGATTGGGTCACATGAAATTCATTTATGAAGATTAAAAACTTGACCTATAGAAATAAAACGTTAAGGTGTCCCTTACGCATTACTCAGCTCTCCTTAATTAAACATATATATCTTTTCACACATAAATAGGAGAGTGGATATCCATTTGAAGTTTTCAGGGGCAGTTCGAGTTGGTAAAAGTACGATCGTGAAAATATTGACTCGAAAGTTCAATTTTAATAGTAAGGATTATCAAATGGTAGGATCTAAACAGCAAAATTATCTGGTCTCACAGCTATACTGCAAAGAAAAACTGATATTGAAGAAGTTCGAGGCAAACTTGAAAGCTAAAGACTAAAATAAGTCATAAAGAAAAATATTATTTGTCGTTCTATTCTCTATTACTTATTTTAAAAAATAAAATATGAAATATTACTTCTATTCAAAATATTTTAGACTCAAGGTGTGGAACTGCATGATAAGGCATTAGAGGTTTGTGGACATACAGTGGATACAGTACTGGTAGATACTGCTGGCCATGAACTTTATAAATGGGTTGTCAAACCCGTATGCGATGAAAGTGCTTTTTGTGCACTCTGTTTTGATCTTACCAATAAAGATAGCCTTAGTATTCTGAAGGCATATCTTGAAGAGCTGAGCATCCAAAAAAGTAAATGATTGCCAATCAAAACTTAAGTTATTGTGATGGATGGTTTAAGTTTCTTGTTTTTTCATTTTCATAGATTTGCTAGATTAATATGCTTAGAAGTGAAATTAAGCAACAAAGCATTTCACTGATCAAGTAGTTGCAATATCAATGCAAGTTTAAGGAATGCCAGAAGACGGATTTTGAATAAAATTAGAGGAATTAGCAACTGTTGCAAAATACGAAATTTGAACCTTTTCAGTTGTAATAGAATCAGGCCAAAATAAACCGCTACTTTGGAATTTTATTTTACGATGAAATGAGAAGAGGGGTTATAATACAGACAAATATCGAGGTTTTAAAGAAAACAGTTTTGCACTAATTCATTCAGATTTTAAATTCTACTGAACAAAACTTTCCAATTTGAGATTTACAGGTGTCCTGATCGGCTGCAAATTTGATTTACAATCAAGACATGCCATTTCACTGTCAACTGCTGAAGAATTCGCTATAAATAACAACCTGAAACTACATCTTACTTCAATGGTAACTTTCATGACAAATTCTTTATTATCTCTCTTCCTAGTGTATATTAGCGTACGGTTTCATCTTTTACCTTATTCCTATCATTTCTTTATCTATCGCATTATCCATTTGTTATCAGTTAGCTTTCTATCTTAAACTATTAACACCGCAATGTTCTTCTACTAGTTTTACATCAAAAAGAAGAATCATTATCATTTGCTTCTTCTTTCCCTTCTTTTCGTCCATTGTGCTTATATGCCAGTTACAAATCAAACTTTTCAGACCTGATTATGCCACCCAACCTTTGTATCCTAGAGATTCAAATTAAAGATATACCCCTTAAAATCTATAAGTCACATGCTAACTATGTCTTGCTTATTGGACATGACTAAGTCGTTATATTTGCTTAGTAGCGCTATTACTATCGTTACCAATTTGGATATAGTGAATCTACAACGCGGTTGGATCTTGATCTTCGTAAAGATTAATTTATTGAATTACATCGCATCATATTTCACATGCCTCAGTTCTCTTCATATAAGTTCTTTTAGATAGCTATTTCTTTATCCGCTTCACTTTTATATAAGCAGTAAACATTTGTATTTAGATGACAACATCGACTGAAATGGAAGAACTATTCTACAGCAGTATCACAGATTACGCCAGCGAAAGCTAAATCAGACATCTGCATAGCTATCTCATTTAACGATTTTCTACTTATTTCTTTTAACTATTATTGTCATTCAACCAGAAAAGTATGATTATTTCAATAAAGCATAATAGCAATAAGTCTCATAAATGTAAAAAAAAAAAAAAAAAAAAAAAAAAAAAAAAAAAAAGAGAAAACCGTAGTAATTTGCCTACCTAAACACAAAGATTTGCAAGTAAATTAATTATCCGAAGTGAAGTTTTTGAGATACAATACACGCAAATGAGCATGTCTTTTGTGCACATAATGCAGTAGTAGTAGTATCACATTGTAAAATAAGAAGATACACGGAGAAATTTGAAATTCTTCTATCTAGTGCAATGCTAAAAAACTTCATTGAATTGATAACAGGTGTCAGTCATAGATGTAAATGAAACTATGCTATTTCAAGAGATGCTATGTTTTACATATCTCGTCATCGCTGTTTTCGTGGATGCATAAAATTATACATATAGTTTCATTTTGATTAAGATAATGATCAATGCAAAAATAACAAAATGCTAGTCCTCGATGGTATTTCTTTGTTCTTTTTTTTTTTTGTAAATCAATGGATTTAATTAAATTTTAGGCTTTGAAAGATTAAAACTTGATCAGTTCCTCAAGTATTCAAAAAGTGAACTAGAAGGATTCAAATAGAAATGAAGATGAAAGCAAAATAAAACAGGTAATTAATGTTTATTTGACCGTCGTTCCAAAAGCAACAGTATGACTTCATTTACAGTCTCATATATCTGCTTTGTTAAACTAATGAGTTGAGAAAATTTGGTTTGATCATATAGGTCTGATGCAAATTTCCTTAATATAGTAAAAAATCTTACTTTGATCAACATAATAATAATAATAATAATAATAATAATAATAATAATCAATGAAAATAAATATAAAAAGATTTAATATATAAATCTTAGGACTTTATTTATTATTAAATTTCCATTACCATAAGATTAACGAATTTGATAGCAGTTATAAAGATCATAACTTTTTTGAAGCTCTGATCAATCCTAAAACTTTGTTTTGGTTATCAACGAAATTCACAAAAAACGAGAAATGATAAAACAATTTGAAGAAGTGAGACGATACTAAAACAGTTATAATTTGAACATGTCTAGTTTATCCAGAATTCGCTTATAGTGAATGGGAGCCTGTTCTGTTGCACAACTTCAACCTCATCACGTGCCAGTATTCTTCAATAACTCTATGTAACTCTCGTAGACGCATGTATAATTACATGTGGCATAAGTCATGCTTAAGTGTAAAGTGACATGTAAAAATGCGTTACTGTTGCTGTCAAGTCAGTAAATTTGCTCAACTGATTGGATTAAAATAAGTGATTTGAAATTGTGGTACCACTCGTTGAGTTTTCAAACTAAACAATTTTTCAGTTAGCTAATAGTAATATCAGAAGATATCACATACATTTGGCTGAATTTTGAACTTTTTAGAAACGTAATAGCACCGAAAAAATATGAGAATTTTTAATGAAATGCAGCTACGGCATTCAAAAAGTGGTTGTTTTTGTAATTCAGTTTATAATTTCTTTCTATCCAATAGAATCTTTGACGAAAAAACGATAACAGTAAAGAGGCAGAGAAACCAAATGAAAAAATGCATAATAATTGAAACTGAATAGCATTTGAGAGTATATCTGACATAAAATAGAATCTGAAATATAACCTTTGACAAAGTTTAGAAAAACGAGGTAGTAGTGAATGATAATAATTTTATAACCTTTTAATTTCAACAAATCTAAATCGAGTTAATCGAACCGAGGATGAAATTTAATACGTTAGCATAAAAACTGAAAATTTGAAAATTCTTTCAACCTTTTAATCAATCTAAAATAAAATACAATTCAATTTTTGGCGAAGTTGAGAACAAATTTGCTGATATATGAAGAGCAAATAAAAAGAGTAGCGTAATGTGCAGGACGCCTAAGAACTTAGCCAAAAATATAGACAATGAATGCTTCAGGACCGGCCAGCAATTTATTGGAATTCGATGTTTTCATAAATGATGCTATCCCTAATATTAATAATGTAATGCTCAATTTGCACTATTTTTTATTATGAAGCACATATATATTTTTAAAAAAAGTGAAGTAGTGAAAATGATATTATTATTTTGTAGAGAACAGTGGATTTGTTCTCATATAACATTTTAATATAATCATTGCAAATCATTCAAGAGACAATAAACGAACTTGCTTTTCTTTGAAATGAAGCAATCTTTTTTTATGTAATAAATTTTCATGAAAAGGTATTTTGTTTAAGTTACTGGAAAACTTACAACAAAACAAAATTTCGATCTGTGATTTCAGCATGTGGAACAGATTGTATGTACAAAGTTTCTAAAAGCATTGAAGGGATTGAAGGGATTTAAACAGAACTTGTCTCAGTATTTTCCAATTTAACTGTCCAATGAGTATTGTTTTAATTTATTATTCACCTTATTAGTTATCATAAGGCTAAACAATTCATGTTTTCGTCATCATCACATATTTCCAAAAGAACTAATTTACAGGATCAAAATCGAGTTTAATGTTATGGCAGATATATATAGTTTTTTTTGCCAGTCAGTACAAATACAGCTTTTTTTTTCTTCAGATTTCTCATCTTTGCGTATAGTCTAATGAATTCGGGAAATAACAATATATATCATTTAACTCATGTTAAACGTTGTCTACAACAACATTTGTTCAGAGACCTTTACTGTCTACAAAACAACTATTTACACGATCAAAAAAATATTTGTCAAATCTTGATAACAATAAATATTGAAAAAAAGAAAAAGAAATATAGATGATCCTAAATTGTTTATTTACTATGAGTTGGAAAGAAAACAATTATCTATAAAAAAAAATAAGAAGCAACTGGTGGCGTAAACCAAATGAGACATACTAATCGACTTACTGTTGAAGTTTACCAATAATCAGCACTAATCAAATTTCAAAGTTATAAATTAAGTCCTTGATAATGATGTGAAGTAGAAAAGAATGAAAAATCGAAATAGGATAAAACTGCCATCTTTCACAAAATTTTAGAACAGTTAAAATTTGATTCAAATATTTGAAATGTTTCAAAGAATGTAGGTTTGAAATTATTGAACCAGTGTTGACAGAATTTGAATACAGAATGATATTGAAGTGTTAAGCTAGTGTTAGATAACTCTAGTGAAAACAAACTTTAAATTCTCAACTGATTACCAAATAAATTTAAAAATCTGGAAGAACATTGTTTGCTGTCGTATTAATTAAATTTAAGATTCAGTCATTTAAGCTTGATTACAAGTGTTCCTTTTGTAATGGTGTGTTCCTATTCATTTATTCCTATTCACGAGCTTAATTCATAATATTTGAGAAACTGACATCGAGTAGTTCCACTATGTTCACTAAAATGACAAGATGGCTTCTCTTTATGATTACTCAACCAGTTTTGTCATTCTTTTTTGTATTTCTTATTATTTCTTGTCAGTTTCCTCTTCTTTATGATTCTTCTCATTTTACTTGCTTTTGTTGCTTCATTTTATTTTTCATTTGAAACATCTATCTTTCATTCATTTCAACTTCTAGCAATATGCTCACTGTACTTTCAATCTTTTTCAGAATATTCCCAATTAGGAGTAGTATTTGAGGGTGAATATATTTGAAGATTGTTTGTAAATTTGTTTATACATTTTTTAATATAATTTATTTTTAAGAAATGTTTCGCTTTTAAGTAAGTTAAAAAGATGACTGTTTTGTACATTGCGATAAAGTTATCTAATTGACATGTTATTAAATAAAGTCTATCAAAATCAATAAACAGTGTACCTCGAATTTCATGAAATTTTATGTAATTGGACAGGAAAAATGATTGAGCAATCACAAGATGTACAATATTCTGCAATTAAATAATCCTTTTATTTTTTTTAGTAATTATTAAGAGTAAAAAATTGTGCCAGTATGACTTAATATTAAATTTCAAAATTTTCAAAACATTTTTGGAAATGTTCTTATAAACTTATTGGAGTTCATAAATAATGAACAACTGTAGTACTTTTTGTAAAACCCTTTTCTATTTCATATTAGTGGCATGTTTCAGCAATTATTTTATCAATCCGTAATTTTATTTCTGATATTTCCTTATTTATTCTTTTATTCCTGATATTAGTAAAGAAAAATCTGTTCAACGAAAAAAAATCAAGAGTTTTACGTAATTGACTAATAGTTATTATTTTATCAAATGGTTATTTGTTAAATATCTTTCTGCTTATTGATTAACTATCCATATCACATATTCCACTGAAATGTTCTTATTTTCAATTAAATATATCTCAGATTATTGCTGTTAGTGAATTTATAACATAAAACTTTATTAGAAACTAAAAATGAAGACAAGAACTTTGTCATCAAGAATTTTATCTACTGGAGCTGGTCAATGAACGATTTCGAATGAGTTGTGATAGCAGCAGCAGCGATTATGCTTGGGCTTCTTGTAAAATCATTGCTCTGCTATAATCCCTTTCATTTGACAGTTTTTGAATGTGACTATTTATCACTATAAAGTTAATAAAGAATTTTGATCTGAATTTCCAAATTCTAATTACAAAAAATTACCTCATTTTTAGAAATTCTCTGTTTTTAATAAAATCGACTATAGTGAATAAATCTTGGACCTGTACAATACTTCTTGGTTTAATTTCGAATTTTAAAACTTAAATTATATTGCATCAAGAATTATTGCGAGGATTTAAGAAGAAAGCCTAAAATTGTATGCCTCTGATCATTGGAATGTGAATTCGTTCGTATTTTGCAATGAAGTACTTGTATAAATATATATTCTAATTTCTACTCTTTCAGTAAAAGTTTTTCCTATTAATAATAGAAAAAGAAATTTTCATTCTTGAAGAGTCAGGTGATTAATATATGAAGTTGAGCACAGCGCTTTTGACGCATTTCGCAACCAGTCATTTAGCTAATGATATAAGAA